TGTGTTAAAACAGAGAAGAAACAAAGGGACAATCTCATACCATATGGTTAAATAAAATAACAAACAACACTAGGATTGAATGTAGAACATATATCATTTTCATTATTATTTCACTAAAAATAAACCAGTGTTATTTTTCTTTTTTAAAATCATCCCTTTCAGTTCATGTTCTCAAATTCTCAGAATAGTTGCATGCTTTTGGGAATGTTTACAACTGTAAGATATAAGTATGCAATTTTTCTAGCTCATCTTGTATTTAATTTCCCAAAGATGGAAAATTTCTCAATTTTGATACAAATTCTTTTGATGTTTCAATATTTAGAAGGGGCAATGATTTTCTAAAATCTATTCATTTTTCAATGAAATAATTTTGGCTTGATTGGAATCTTCAAAGGAAGGTGCAATATATTTTTTTTATTATAGTTTGACTTAATAGTTTCAGAAATGAGGCATTGAAAATGCACTTTTTCAAGAACAAAAATCAAATAACCAATTTGTATTAAATTGGTGTTCATTCTTCATTGAGAAAAAAATAATTTCCTGTATTCAAGTATACATGTACAATACCTTACACTGTTAAATAGTCATATAATGGGGAAAAAACAAGTTGTCCTTTTCTAGATTTAGACATTTCAATTTGTAAAGGGAAACTCCATACTAAAATTTACGGCAAAAGAGACGATTGTTAATTTTCCTTTTTTAGACGGCGATGTACCTTTAGCTCCATCATACGGTGTTTATATATCCCAACTCGTTCGGTATGCTCGTGTGTGTAGTGATGTCATAGATTTTAACGAACGTAATCAATGCATCACTGGTAAATTATTAAGTCAGGGATTTCGTTACCATAAATAACTTAAAACTTTTACTAAATTCTTTCATAGATACAAGGATTTGATAAGTAAATTTGGCTGTACCTGTAGAAAACTTATATACCAGCTTTGATTATTTGGAATTACTACAAATTTTCACTTCTTCGTACTGTAAACATCAAAATTATTTCATTTCTCCTTAAATACTGTTCTTGCACCTGTACAGGAAGTTTTATCTATCACTAATTATATAGTTTTATTGTTGATATTCACCCCATATGTACCAAGTGTTAGATTAGTTTTATTGATATAAAGAAATTTCTTGGTATTCCTAAACGGAAGATTTTATACACACAGAAGAAGAAGTATACTTAACAACAAAATTATTTTCATTTACCTGTGTATAATATGACGCAGGTTTTTTCAAAAGTGATGATTTTCTAAAAATTGTTTAAAATTTCACAGTGGTATCATACTTTAACTTTGTTTAAACCTGTTTATTTACTTTTGACCTTAATTATCTATCCCTTATAATTTTTATTAACTATGTATTTGCATTCAGGTATCATAGATCAAATTTATTCGTTCATTGTGTGTTAATTTGCGTTTTTTGATTGAGTTAAGCCTTCCAATTGATATTTTATAGTGTGTCTTTCTATGTTGTGATGTTATACTATTGTTTCAGGAAAGGGAGAAGGTTTGGTACCATTAAAACGTTTAATCCCGGTGCAAACGTTTGCACCTGTCCTAAGTCAGGAATCTGATTTACAGTAGTTGTCTGTTTATGTAGTTCATACGTGTTTCTCGTTTCTCGTTTTATATAGATTAGACCGTTGGTTTTCCCGTTTGAATGGTTTTACACTAGTAATTTTTGGGGCCCTTTCTAGCTTGCTGTTCGGTGTGAGCCAAGGCTCCGTGTTGAAGGCCGTACCTTGACCTATAATGGATTACTTTTATAAATTGTTACTTGGACGGAGAGTTGTCTCATTGGCACTCATACCACATCTTCCTATATCTAAATACATTTTATTGCAGAAAATCCCCAGGTTAGAGATATGCAATTTTGTTTATTGTTTCAAGTTAATTAATGATAATTGTAATTTAAATTAACATGAATTATTGACTTCTACCAGATGATTATAGTACTGATCTTACAAGAAAAAATAGACCTTGCTTGTATTTTTTCATACATATTTTGTTTTTGTCTTTTCTTTGCAGAAACATGCATCGTTTTATCTTTAATCATTCATCTCTAATAAATAATTTACAGAATAATGTTATGTAGCGTAGATCAGAAGTGATTACAGGTCTACTATCTAGGGCAATATTATTGTGTATTCAATTATGTAATACACAAGTGTGGTCAATTAAGATTGACATAAAAGTGGAGGTGATTCCAATTTAAAGTCCCACCTTCAAAGAAGTTATTTCTAAATAATGACAGTTGTCTTATTACTGTATTATATCAGTACTCTTATTTGCCTAAGAAAAGAATTGGAATAATAGCATTTCAAAAAAGTGTGGGAATGAACTTTGATATCAATACACATCTTGTACCAATGTTATTCAATTACTTACACAAGCACAAGATACTGATAGAATTCTTTCATAATTCTTATCTGTAATTAAATTTGATATATTACTTTTTCACATTATTTCTTAAAAGTAATTTATTATAAATGTTGATTTACAACCGAACTATATGCAAGTGTATATATAAAATAAAGGAGCTGTTCGCCCAATATTTTCTTAATTTAAGGGCAAATAATTAGTCAAAAGTTGGCAAAAGATGATTAAAATGGTGTAAAAAGTTTCTGCAAGTCATAAAATCACATAATTAGTTTCATGATATGTCTTCAACTTAGAATTCTGCACCATCTCAAAATCCGCAGTGATCACATAGATCCAGCATGGCTGAATCAAAAATTTAAAACACTGGTGGATTTACCCTATCAACTTGAAATAACACAAACAATGTTCAATTTTGGACTCCAATTTAGTCCATCTTGAATACTTTGCCCAAAATCAAATATGTAAATACATGCTTAGATTCAGCATATCAAAGAACCCCAACCATTCTTTATTCTTTAAAATGAAACAAAGTTTAATTGTGGACCCTTTGGACCTTAATGTGGGCATTCAGCAAATCAAAGAACCCCAAGAATTCTTTTTTTTTTAATTTTGGACCCTTTGGAATTAATGTGGACCAATTTGAAGACAGGCCTCAAAATTTTAAAATCTAAATACACAATAAGATTCAGCATATCAAGGAACACCAAGAATTTAATTTTTAAAGAATTCAAACGAAGTTTAACTTTGGACCCTATGGACCTTACTATGAATCATTTCAAACCGATCCTACAATCTAAATATTAAATCCCTAATTAGATTCAGCATGTTAAAGACTCCCAAGAATTCAAGACTTTTGAATTAAACCCCATTGAAATTGCTAAAAAATAAGCAATTTATCCAAAGTATTGGTTTTGGCCCCTTTTAACTAAACCAATAGGGTCATAATCCTTAAAATCAATCCCAAACTTTATGTTATGGTATAACACCTTGTGGCACAATTAAATAGCAATATATAGACTTATACTCAAGTTATTGTCCAGAAATCAGAAAATCCTAGTTTTTGGCCCATTTTCCCCTTATTATTGACGGTTTTGACCAATCAATCCCAACTTTCCTTTTAAAGTATGGAACCTTGTGGTAAAATTTCATAGAAATCCAAACTCTAATACACAAATTATTGTCCTGAAACATGAAAAATGCTTCTTTTTTACCCCTTATTGGTCCTTAATTACTAAACAGCTACAACTATGACCCCAAAAATAAATCCCAACCTTCCTATTGTGGAATGGAACTTTGTGCTTAAATTTAATACAGATCTATACAGTTGTACTCAAGTTATTGTCTGTAAACCAGACAAATAATTGTTTTTGTTAGGCCTTTTTTGGCCCCTAATTCCTAAACAGCTACTATAATAACCCTCTAAAATAAACCCCAACCTTCCTATTGTGGTATGGAACCTTGTGCTAAAATTGAATAGAGATCCATACACTTATACACAAGTTATTGCCTGCAAACCAGAAAAATAGTTGTTTTCTGCCCCTTTTCATCCCCTAATTATTAAACGATATGGGCCTTGACCCTCCAAAAATCATTTCAAACTTTCCTTTTGAAGTATGGAACCTTGTTTAAAATTTCATAGAAATATATACTCTTTTACACCAATTATTGTCCTGGAACATGAAAAATGCTTGTTTTTGGCCCTTAATTCCTATACAGCTACTACAATAACCCCCAAAATAAATCCCAACCTTCCTTTTGTGGTATGGAGCCTTGTGCTAAAAATTTAATAGAGATCCATACACTTATACTGGAGTTATTGTCTGTGAACCTGACAAAAAATTGTTTTTGTTAGACCCTTTTTGGCCCCTAATTCCCTAACAGCTATGACAATAACCCCCAAAATTAATCCCAACCTTCCTATTGTGGTGTGGAACCTTGTGCTAAAATAAATATCTCTTATTAATTTTTCTTAAAACCAGACAAATAATTGTTTTTGGCCCCTTTCTGGCCCCCAATTACAAAACCACTGGACAATAACCCCCAAAATCAATCCCAACCCTTTTTTTGTGGAATGGAACCTTGAACTAAATTTTCTTACACATCCATACACTTACACTAAAGTTATTGTCTGCGAACCAATTAATATTTCATAAAACCAGTAAAACTGATCTTTTTTGGTCCCTAATTACAAAACCACAAGGACAAAAGCCCCCAAAAACAATCCCAACCATTCTTTAGTGGTATGGAACCTTGTGCTAAAATTTCATAGAGATCCATGAACTTATACTCAAGTTATTGTCTGCGAACCAAAATGTCTTCAGATGCAGACAACACCAGAACACAATACTACCGCAAATAAAGGTCGTATAAAAATATATGCAAAATAAGTATGCCTTCAATTCATAAAGTTGAGATGCAGCATAAAATCTGCAAAATCTGCTATCGACAAGAAATCAACTTCTTAACATTAAATTTTTCTATCTTTTTTGGAATCCAAGTTTCTGCTAGTGGACATGTACAGGTATTGACACATCTGTAGGGAAATATGTATGCAATCTCAGATTCTATCCACATGCATATATCTTTTTGGCAGAATAAATACTTGTAAAAACATAGTCTATTTAATTGAAATTTTATTTTATTAATCATCCTTGACAATACATAGAAATTTCAAAAACTATGTGAAGTTATGTACATTATGAGGTAGATGTTATATAAATACCAAATTTCAAATCTAGAAACATTAAGGCTAACATCATCTTTACTCTTATAAAGTTAAACTTTAACCATTATAATCTTAGATGTGATTCTTCAAACATGCCATCTACTTCCATTTTCTTAATAAAATTAATTAGACATGTCTATCAACAATGTGTAGAAAGGGCAAAGTAAATGCTTTGATATGGGGGAGACAAAACTTTTTCTAATAAATTTTGAAAAAAACAAGAATTTTATGAAATTTTTAAAGGGCCTTAATTCCTTTTAAAATGTGTCCAATGGGTCGAATATCAAGCTCAATTTCAATCAGAATGAATCATTTCAATTTCTAACTCCATACTAAAGCATTAGCTCACTATTGCAATATATATTATGTACAACATTTGATGATGTCAGCCCTACAGAAATCATTTAAATGCAAATAACTGATAAATTATATTAAAATCACACTAAAAATGTCAACATGGTTATTTACAATAGAATGTGTTGTAAAAAACTCAGATGCTGCTTTTCTTGGTCTGGACAGGAAAGACAACTATCCATTTTACAGCATCCACACAAACACAGTGTAAACTCTTATGATGTAAATTGCATATTTTTATTCTGATATGGACTTTAAACCTTACTGAATCAAATTATATAATAATATTAAGATCATTTGATAGATATATTTTACTGTTTAAAATGTATGTTTAATACAGTGTTTGTCAAAACATTTGTATTCTACATGATCTTTTTCAATAAAAGGATGCTAATGTACAATATAACAGATTAAAAAAAATGTATTTACAGAAACAAAAAAGTTTCTCTTTATGAATTGGATTTGAATATCCCTCACTGATTATCAGATCAACTGGCCAAATTTAATAAGGGGACTATACAACTAACAAAAGATACAGATTACAAAATTTTTTCACGAAAGACATTGATTCTAGTGCAAACACATTTTAAGCTTTTCCTGGAGTAAATTCAAATTACATAATTTATCTTATCAAAAAAATATGTAATACCAATTTATAAGGCATTATTTTCCAAATGGATAACTCCCACACAAATTGTCGTTAACCTTATTTGTAACAAGAGGAAATTCATTAACCCACAATTGGTAAGATGGGGAAATTGGCCATAAGTTAACCCGTTTACATTTCTAAATTATTATAACTTGGATATTAGCTAAGGGCTGTTCCATGAAATCATACATGGGACCCAGGGAAGGCACTTCCAAATCTTAACTATGGGTGGGTGTCACCTATGTTCTTGCATAGTGGAAATGTAAGTGAAATCTTAATTTGCCTCTGGTTACCCTATTTTTAAAGTTCCTTCCTTGGGTACCATGTATGTTTTAATGGAACAACCCTAAGCATTTATACCATATTTTTTATTCATTTGAAAGTTTTGATTATTTCCTAAATTCTTCAATTGAAACACTTAACAAAGCTAGAAAATATAATACATAAAATTCTATCTACATTAACTGTACAAACAAATAAATAAGGCCTAAAATTTACACATTTTTGTAGCTTATTAACAACATAATTAATGCAAATAAAAAGTCAGTAATGCAATGCAAATATTGAGTTCCAGTCTGTTAAATTGTGATTTATTTTACTTAAAAATTATTTTTAAGATTCATATATACACATTTTTATTCTTTCTTCTGTATATGAAAGTAATAATTACAAGTCTTTAAAAAGAAATAAATTAAAGTGATTTTACATTTGAAAATCTAACATGAAACCATCTACCTGTAGACAAATGTGTTCAATTTTTGGCAACTTACTTTCAAAAATCAAAAAGTAGTATTTAATCTATCAAACAACAGCCTTTTTCACAATACATTAGTCCATCTATCTATATGTATTTATATTTGTGTATTGCATCTTTCATATCTTCAAAATTCTTGCATTTAGGAAAAAAATGAGAAAACAAACTGTAAAATACACTTAAATTGAGTTCTTGTCATAAACATTTAGATACCAGCCATGATCAAACCAAAAACAATATCTTCATACAAAATGTTTAATACAAAAATGTTGATGTTAGGAAAACATATTCTTGGGTAATGCTATTTGTCTTATTCAATTTTTATAAAACTGTGCGTAAAATCCCATATTATGAAAACTATGTCAGTTTCTACTTGTTTATGACATCGAAGTTAATTATAGATAACATTCCTTCACTTAAATGACAGATTATAGTAAAATTCCCATACAAGGTAATAAAATTTTTTTAAAAGTAATAAACTATGTTAAATACTACATGTTTAGGACATTAAAGTTGAATTACAGACATTCCCGGGCTTAAATCGACTATAGTTAAAAGTATAAAAGGTATGAATTTTGCTATTTTTTTTCATAAATTTCAGGGACTCTTATTCTCTTTTCAAAACAAATTTTCTGTTTTGATATATATTTGAAAGTTTATCTCTACGATTTAATTCAAAATTTCTTATGTGGATATATCTTTATTTCTGTAAAACACAATAATTTTGTGTATCTTGAAAAAAGCAATTGATGACAAAAATAACTTCAATAATTTATCAATTAGTAGACAATCTTTTATATACACTGCAATTCTTATACATTTAAAGTAATCTACCATGACTTGAAAGCATAAATCTTATAAATAGGGACATTTATGGCAAGAAGATGTAAATGCTGGATCATTGAATATTAACACATAGAGTTACAAAATTATTAAATGAACATAGACACTATGAGGTACTGTCAACTCTCCTCATAGGAAGATGTTTGAAATATCAGAACTTCAGCTCTGACAATAGGAGAGTGTACTTGTCATCTAAATACCTGAGAAGTATTGTATGTTTCAGTTGCATAGGGAGAATGGATGGGGATGAATTTCATAATTTTTTGTTTCCTTAAATTTGAGGAATAAAATGTTTTCTTTCCTTTTTTCATTTTTACGTAACATCTACTTAGGCTAAAAATGAATTCTTAAGAATGCTTCCTTTATAAATGTAAATATTCACAAACTATAAATAATCATAATCATAATTAAAACCAAATTTTGTAATTACATATAAATTTGTATTTTCTAAAGATGCTCTGGACATTAAGAGGATTGTGAATATTGACAGGAACGGGAAAGAATATAAGTTGGAATCAACTGGCATAAATATGTTTGTGAATACAGGTATGAAAGTCCACAGTAGTAAATAAATTGGATTACAAAGGATTAGATACCATACTTATAAATATATTAATTGATAAATTTACAAGGTTATATATCCTATGAGCAATTGTACATTCAGCATATCAATTTTTTACCTTTAACAGATCATTTATATATATGTAAGCTTATGTATATTCTTCTATAAGGCATGGAAAAAAATGCCTGTTAACTAACAAAAAATAAATGAAATATTCTCTAATATAGAATATATAAAGTGGTTTTTAACACTGAAAAAAATACTCTCCCTATATGTTGAACTACTCATGTTTCTGATAAGCCTTTGATTAAAAAAAATAGAGATGGACATCAACTTTCATGATATACTACAAATGTACAAATTTTTAGGATGTGTTCATTTTCCTGGTAACTACAAAACTATACATGTTTGACATCTTTTTAGCATTGTGCTGAAATAAAAGTGGTGTTGCACAAATCTAATACCTATCATTCAATGAAATAAATTGTTAAGAACCTGATCAAACAATTTAAGTTTAACCAGCTACAATTTACTGAAACATGTATAAGAACATTATATTATCTTGATACATTTACATAAGACGTGTGCAACATCAATCTTAATCTCACGTTAGGACCATTGTATAAGCAAAAATATATGTTGTTAAAAGAACAAATAAAACATTATGAATATTTACATTTATATACATGTTATTATCTATAAACATTTTCTTATCAAGAATAAATATATTGCATTAAAATACAAATTCCGACTATGGAAAATGTAACGTATAAACCTGAGTATCTTGTAAACATGTGTCTTAGTCATTGACTTCGTCTACGGGAACTCATGTAATGTATAACTTTTTTCACACCCTCAAGTCGCTCTTTTAGCTGTACCATAGCTAAAAGTGATAACTGAATTTGTGGATTTAAAGGCAGAACTGACACTAACCACCACAACCATTGTGGACCATTTGGATACTGTGTGAAATCTTCATCCAGGGCAGGAAACTGTCCACAGTGTTTGTGAATTTGTTCTCTCTGAAGGCCAGGTAAGGCATCAAACCAAATCTTGGCAAAATTGTAAACATCATTTTGTACTTCTTTGATTTCTAAAAAAAACAAATTTAGATATTCAGATTATTTGTCATGGAAAAAGACATTTTTAATGAGACCAATATGAAACAGGCCAACAAAAAAATGTTATATATTCTTAAATATTCTTATAATTTTGTAAAAAAAAATTTATCATCAGGAAAATACCTAAACCAAAGCTCTCTCCTACTTAATATTTTCTGTGTTCAGTTTACGTTCATTTAATAAATAAATAGGATTCATTGTACTTTCTATTTTAGAGATCAGTTTTGGCAAAGTTCTGCTTTCTAAAATAGTCCATGCTATTTACAATGAAGTGGAACAAATAACTGTCTTCCATTAAATTTTTATACAATATCTTGTGAATGATTTTCAAACTTCTTGCCAATTTTGAAATTGAATTTGCAAGTAATTTTCAAAATTGTAAAATTAGCACAATGACTGACTAGGTGATCAATAAAATAACCAGGCTTTAAGTAAAAATTTCCAACACGACATGGGTTAACATTCAGCTTTCCATTGCAAACTTTGGAAAAGGCATATAGTGTGGAAAGTGTATAATTATACATCTGACATCTCATGTTCTAGTTGTTTCCAACATTGAAAATATTCAGTGATATTTCCAAACTTTTCAACATGGTATCAAATTTACCTTTGAACTTCTCTTGTGGAGGCATTTTATCAAAGATAAACTCGACTTTGGCAGTATTGTATCCATCTCTCTTTCCTCGACTAGATACTTTAAATCTACGCCCACCAATAGTATCCACTATAGATCTTCCATCTGGGAAAAATTGAACATCACGAATCTCCAGCATAGTACCAAAGTCAGAAAAATTATCACTGTGATAAAAAAACAAAAAAAATATAAGATAAATGTTCAAAAAATAATAAAAAAATAATATGTCACTGTTAAATACAAATTCATGGTCATATTAATGAACATGAAGACAGGTAGTAGAAATTTTGTTTTTCAGTCAATGACATTTATGACCATCCTGGCTATGTAAGTTTTTTAATAAAACTAACTGTGAATGTAGAATTACAGCCATTACATTTACAGCTGACCCTCAGCTTATCATTTTTCACACTTATTATCACACTGGTTTGTATCACTCTTCACACATATTATCACACTGGTTTGTATCACTCTTCACACATAACATCACACTGAATTGTAATGATTCATCAAATAGTGTTCTCTATAACATTCTTGTTCATCACAATAAAGCTCATTTACTATGACAATTTATTAAGATGTAAAATTTAATTTTGCTCACTACCTTATTAAAATGGCTAAAGACGACATCTTTCTTCTGTATTTTTTTTTTATTTATTGTTTGGTTCTTGCTTCCTGAAACAACATCTGTTTTCATCCATCATTTTTCCCGAAATGAAACACGATCCCATGAGGTTTTTCAAAGTCAAGTGGTATATGTAGTATCATTTGCTGTGATTTGTGTTTTATGTTAAAATGTGTTCGGTTGGTTAATTCTTTATCGTCTAGCTACTTGCAACCACAACAAGATTCATTTATTTTTCTTTGTTGATATTTGGTCATTTTAAGAAGTAAACTTAGTTGTTTTTATCAGTATTAGTAGTAGATTTGCAAATGATATATCATTTGTTTCTAATTTACTTTACACATGTAATTTATAGAATTAAATCGTAGTAGGTAACTCAATCCAATATACTGTGGCTTCATTTATTTTCGTGGGTACCAATCTTAGTGGATTGAGGAAAACTTATATTTATGTGGATATTTTTTTTCGTGGTTTTGCAAAAGTCTGCATACAAGCCTTAAGTGAATTTGTAATTCATCAAGGATTTAAATTCGTGGTTTACCTGTACCCATGAAATCCGCATAATTTGGTATGAAACGAACAATAACGAATCCACAATACACTGTCATTATTCATTTTCAGACTAACAAAGTGTTGGGAGAAAATAGAGTAACTTACTCGTCATCAGTGAGACTAACTACCATTCCAAACTGTCTCATTCCAGACTCCATACATTGTCGAATCATCAGTCGATATCTTGGTTCAAAGATATGTAGGGGACAGGCAATTCCTGGGAATGCTTGGGTACATACAAATACAGGGATCTCTGCTGTTCCCTCAACTGACATTCTGTGAATAAAAAGTGGGAAATAAAGTTTGGTATAAGACTTGCTTTGAGAATAGAGGGTGATGAGGGGTAAGCAACAGTGAGATAACAACCAAACAATATAATTAAAAGGAAAAAACTCAGAGTAAGACATTTAGAGGTCCTCAGTCAATACCAAATATCATGCACTTAAACATCCCTTTCTCAATTTCCTGTACTCAATATATGATGAAAAAGATATTTGAAATAACATAGTTCTCAACTTATTTATTTCTGAATTATTTTTCCTATTTCTTCAATACTATATCTTTCTTTTTTAGCAACACTACTAAAAATTGATGATTCTCATGCATATTAACAACCAGTTACAATTACCTGGTAAACTCTACCAATTCTTCTTCATGGATTTTCTTTCTTTCTTCATAGTCATCACTGAAGTATGTCCGTAAGATCCCCTGAACAGATTCCGTAACAGACTGTCTTCTCTCTGCCAGGTACTGGAAAAATGAAATATATACATTATCAATTACAACTTTCCGATCTTAATTTATTGTTTTGAATTTTAATGTGTGTATGTTTGCAACAGTTGAAAATTGTCATTGGACTTTTTTACAGTTCTTTCATTATTTGAGATTTTACAGAGGTGAGTCATTCAAAAGATTACAACTGTCAACTGAAATCTCTTTTCAATTAAAACAAATGAAAATTATGTAAAATGAAGAAATTAATTATATCAGTCTTAATATCCCTACCATTAATTTTATACAAGAGTAAATCTTTTACAGGATATTGTTGATACAGATAGTGTATAAATTTACCTCGGCTAACGAGCTTTTACACAATGGACACGAACTCTGATGGTCCAGACATCTATCTAAACATCTACGGCAGAATACATGACCACATGGTGTGGTGACTGGATCGTACAACAAGCGATAGCACAAGCTACAGTCAAAATCATCACGGTTCAATAAATCTCCTGGAATTTTTCTTTCATTTTCATCTTTCAAGGAATCTTAAGATAAAAATAACAGCATATTAATAAAAATACTTCAAAAAAGACAAAGGTACCGAAAAGCCATTAAAAAGATGCAAGGTAATTCATAGATGAAAATCAGTAAAACTGTTGCTGGAGAATATCAGAAAAAGAGAAAAATATGGCAATAAATTCTAAAAATCTATGTGTTCTGTTTTATTTATAGTTGGGTCTTAAAAAGTTGAATATTACCCCTGCTTAAGTATTCTGTTATTGAAAGTTGATAAGTGATGGATTTGTACAGGAATCACACAGTTAGCATGGTCGCATGAAGCTGGATACCTAATTTCGGAAAGTACAATTTCATATCTCATGGGCAAAATAACTATGTCTAACCCTGTCCAAAAATTTGTAAAGATATATTGAAGTTAGTATATTTTGCTATGGCAAACCACAGATGTTTGGATAAAAATAAAATAAGAAGTACAAAGTACAAAGTACTACGAGGTACTTTAGATTCTCTATATCAAATTACATAAAATTCTAACAATAGTATTGTATAAAGTATAAATATATGAAAGATATAAACTATTGATTAAACCACCACTGTCACTTATCAAAGGTTAAGTATCATATCTCTTTCTCCCTATATGTACAACTTGCTTTTCTATACTTTAATTAATCTAATTCACAAGTAATTATAAAAGGTACATTATAGGCAATTTAACATACTTATATACGTCATGCTTTTCACACATACTGTTTACAAGTGATAATATTTAAGTTATTGAGTATTAGGACTAATGATTTGATCCTATAATACTATATCATAGGTTAATTTAATAACATCATTTATCACGGAGTATGAATTAACGTCATTCACAAAACCTATTTACAAAGTGTTATATTATAATTATAGAACTACATACATGTTTCATTTTTGACTATTAATTTTCAAATGCTTCATCTTAACATCTGTACTTTTTGTACCTACATATCTTAAAACCAAATTCAAACTTGGATGGAAAATGAAAATAGCACTTTATAACCTTGTAGATTCATTTCATATACAATTACGTGGAGTCTACAGTTTTATAATTTTGAATGTTCTTTTTCACCCTTGTCTTCTTTTTGCTTTAATTTGTCAATACGTCATATCTAATGCCATATCAGATGGAATTTCACCTTTTTATTTGGTGCAAACATGGTCATGTATCATTCTTTAATTGACAGTATTGTTTGCTTATGATTTTTAAATTATTTTTTATTTTTTTGTAATCTAAAAATCTGTCTTTCTTTTATTTATAAAGGTACATGTAGTACATGTAGTAGTAACTTATGAAGAGGGCAATTATGTTGATGAATAGTCTGGTAAGTAATTATAGCATGCCGTTTTCCCAATGAGATATATCACTTTGCACTTTGTAACAAATATTAATACACAGAATTAAATCATTAATGCAATGCAATAACCACAATATTACTCCACAATGACTCTCAGCAAGGGCAAATTGCTAGTGATTTCACTCTACTGGTTTTTTTTAAACAAAACTACCCATGCATGAAGCTCAATTTTAAATGGTTAACTGATCTGCAATTTTCACTAGAACCAGACACATCAAATATTTAAGTAAACTGACTCACCACGTTCACTAGAACCAGCCATATCAAACATTTTAGCTGGAGGTTCTCGAGATGGACTTGTTGGACATGAACCACTTGGATTTCTGGATCTCTTCAAACTGATACTTAAATCATCCCTGAATCTTGCAGCCTTTGTTGACAAAGTAGGAGAGGTTGATCTAGAATTTGGGGCTGATGCACCTGTAAAATTTAATATAAACTAATGACATAAATGTTTTTTCACCTATGCAACTTATTTTCACGGAAACTTTATTTTGCATTTAGTCCTTTCTAGACCAACAGAGATTAAATTTCACGATTTTCAAGTTTACTTGATGTATTTAAATAAGATAAGATCCAAGTTTTTCATATTCGCCAATTTTTATTTTGGCGTTATTTTTCTATCTGCAAAAGTCGTGAAAATAAATCGCTCACAAAAATTAGTTGGTTTACAGTAATCTTGTTTAATATATACAACTTTCCAAAAAGATTTTATTTACATATAAATGACTGTGTGTGTGTGTATGTCTTTTATGTTTTAAGGATTGATTTCTGGGAAAAGGTTAATCACAAATTACAAATTTCATATAAACACTTTAATGCAGAATTTGTCAAACCATGAAATCGAGTATCCCACAAATAACACTTTTCTCAAAATCCACAAAAATTGGTACCAACAAAATAAACCAATCAGCAGTATGTAGTTTTGGGGTAACAATGGTTGCCCCTCCCTTCAGAGAATATGATCTCACATGTTTTCTTTTGATTTTGTTTCCTTAAAATTTTAGTCTCCATTTATTTTTAATGAAGCGTGTGTCTGTTAATTTTGATAGAATTCTTTCCCTGATATAATTTATACTTCTTGATATAACCCAGCAGGGTCGTTTTTCATTGCACAGAGGAGTGGGATCAACAACAGACAAAAATGACAACGAAAACATGTGCTATTGTGGTATTATCCAAATGATATCCATCACTGCTGACTCTAATAAAGCTACATTGTTTTACTAATAAGATTGAATAACACCATAATATTCCCAGCAATTCAGTACAATGAAGTCTCAAAGATTAATTGAACCAAATTTTACTGCAGAACTTTTTAATGTAAGTTAACACAAGATCAATCTGTCAGTAAAATAAGGGGCTCAAGAAGAAATATTATAAACGTACATTTTGTTCTTTCATTCCCTTGTTCCATAGCTTCATGTTGACTGTTTCTATAATAAATCTTTTCCACCTGTCAAAGTATATGATACATGAAGATAAAGTTTTTCAAGAAAAAAAAATTGAAAAAATACACATCCTGCTTATTCTTTACATTGTAATTCAGGAAATTCAAACAGTCATATATATCATGTATATCAACTTTATTTTACGAACCTTGTAATGTTTTAAAACTAAAATCTTTATTAAGATGTTTTAAAATTGATTTCCTAATATAGGTAACAGTAATGAACTTCCATTTAAGTTTTACATCAAGAACTGTTTTAAAGAAAATTGGGGTGTCTGAAATACAGGGAACTTCCTGTCACTCGCTATGTATATCACATACCGGTACTGTTCAATTGACATTAAAGTCAATTTCATCTTCAATGAATTTAATAAAGTTTATTGCATTGTTTTGATGTTAAAAATACATCATGTAAGCGGGAGCCTTAAAAAAAGCTTGGGTGCTCAAAACATGATTTACCCCTCCCTGTACTGTATGCACCTGTCCCAAGCCTGTGGACCAAGGGTATGATTGTGGACCTATTCTATCAATTTTCTTTATAAATTACATGCATAAAAAGGGAAGTCATTGTCTTATAAATATTGATTTCTTTTCATATTGTTTACAACAGCACGTGTGGCAACATAACATGCGTTTAGGCAACTTGTAGAAAGTGTTCAAAATTTTCAAAGGCAATGTAGCATTAAGAAGAAATTAATTAAAGAATGCAAGTTTATTCTTTTATATTTGTTACATTTATGTACAATGAAAAAAAGCCCTTCTGGAAAAATGGAAATCTCAAGTTTATTACTTTACCCTGAAAAGATTTGATAAGTTCAATTTGACTCATAGAACTGCACATATGAATATAAATTTTCAAGAGTTATTCCCACCTTTTCAGAAATATAATTTATGGGGATATCATGTGAACATGAAACTGTTTTCCTTGTTTGTTTGCTCTAATTTTTAGTCTTACTTTTTTATTTAAATAAATTAAATATGTAAGGAGGTCAAATTTCCTGGCTCTTCCCTTTTAACGGTTAACTGTTTTGTCTTTAAATATGTTGAATTTCTAAATTCAAATTAAAAAAATATCGAAATCATTAACAATTATCAATAATAAAAGTTCATATCCAATTCTCATTATCTTTACTCTCATTCTTTTTAATACAAATCTACTAAAATTCACAAGGAAAAATGTTACTAAGTAACATGAATATTCATGAATGCCTTACATTTCCTAACCTTTATGCAAATTCATTGATCATTAAATTCATTTGTTGTTCTGTTTTTTTTTACTACTTATCGTTTGTATGACTGACACAGTTTTTGACTTTTATTATCTAAACACAGATTATGTCACATGTATGTACATGTATTACCTTGTAAATTTGATGAAAAAATTGGATGTGTGCCATCTGTCATGCATCTGATGAGCCCAATCTATTATGCATCTGGCAAGTGCATTCAAATATCTCACATTAAAAAATCTTAATGTGAATATAGTACTTTATAATATTTAGATTTTGTTTTTGAATATATGAATGATTAGCATAATAAGGGAGGAGACTCTGACATTACAGTTTTAAAATAAACAATTCAAATTATCTTTAACTACTTCATAGGTCCTGGATGTGGTTAAGGATATGTACAAGTTTTATAATAAATAATTTGATTTGGGAGGGGAGTTACAAAATTTACTGTTTTTCTGTCATTTTTCAAAATATATTTCACCATTATTTTTGTTTGGTTCCTAATTATAATCTTTTGTTTTAGTATTATCATTTTAAGTGTATCTTTGTTGTCTTGAAAAGAGGGGGAGGGGCATGTCCTTTATGAAATTATCTGCCACATCATGACATGTATGATTTTTCTATGTCTATTAAATGTTTGTCTGATTATTTATTGCATGAAACATGACATCAATAATCTTTGATGTAGAGTCAACAACACTGTGGAAGGTCATACAGTGACCTTTAATTGCTTTATATCCACTAATTTCAACATTGATGACTTGTTTGTTGAAAGCAGTACAATGACCTATAATTGCTTATATCCACTTATTTGAACTCTGGTGGATAGTTGTCTCATTGGCAATCATACCACATCTCCTTTTTTTATAAGAACTAAATTAATTAATATTTCATTAGTTTAACCGTATTCTATTATATGCTAAATCTCAAAATGGATGCGACACAAGTAACCATACTTTAAATGAAGTCTTCTCCATAATGATTCATTGACATCAATAAAAGTTCATGACCTCTTACCATGTTTATGTAAAGTAAAAAGGTCAGATGTTTCATAACCATCACAATCCGTATGCATTTCAAAGAAATAAAATGCTGTAGCAATGATTTTTTTACACATTAATTGTATTGTAACTATTATCAGACATCAAATAAAAATTGTTATGCAATGCAAGCAAAGTGTTTAATAACATTTTATGTAACTAGCTTGTATAACACTGCTTTAATGATGTGCCCACTATCTTATATATGCCTATATCAGATTTATGTCACTGTAGGTTCATTAATATGACAACTCTGATTACTAGGGCTACTTAGAGGGGATTATTTGATTGTTTAATCCAAAATATATGATAATTAGAATAGTAAGTGCATTTTTCATTATTTAATTCAGGAAAAACACAAAAATATAATGTATCACATTAAGCTTCTAGTACTTATCTGTACAGGTAAAATAATTGGTGAATTAAAATTACAGGGAAACCCTGTGTAGGGCCTCATAAAAACATGTTATATAGTCAATGATATTATATTTATGGCTATCTGAAGAACAAATTATCTAATATCAATAACACATATAATATCTATTACTGGAAATTGTGGTCATGTAAATGTTATATGTAATTCAGTGTTGGTAAATGCTGGACAGTTTATTATATAACTGGACATTGACATAACAAAATTTCACTGGACAATCATTTATTATGTATATAAGTTTTTCTCAGATACAATGTATTATAAAATTGGTTGCAATGAAAATATTGTGATTTCACTCCACTGACGTCTTACGACAATTGTGTTGTCAGGACATTGTCAAATGCGTACAAAAAGATATAGTTCCTTCAATTTTCTACTTAATTTCAATTTAAAAAGCCCATGGTCAATGTTATGAACAACTAATCCAAGAATTCAAATATTGAACTTGTGACGGAACAACTCTGATCATTAACTCATGTGCCACTCATTGTTTTTCGGCCACTCATTGAATATTGTTTCTATATTTGAATTCTTTGATTAGTTATCTTATAATTATCCAACAAGCCTTTTACACATTATTACAGATGGACTACTGTTCTTAATGTCTTTGTGTACTTCTTAACTCTTTCACTCCTATAACCATGATAACAAATTGTTAGTGACAGGGTTTGAATTTCACTTCTTCCCATCAGGCATAAATTTCATTTCTCATCTACCTGAACTGCATTTACTGTTATATATTGTTCATTTTTGTGAAACCTTTCTTTACTGTGAAGAATTGAATTAACCAGCTAAAAATACATTTTTCATCCTTATTTATAAACAGCAATCAGGCTCATTTTTTTAATTACATACATGTAAAGGACTTATCGAATGAAGGCAAAATCTCTTTTTAAGTAATAGCCGAGTTCTAATCTTTCAGGATTCTACATTATATAATGTGAACAAGAGCTGACTTCCAAAATCAAGGAGTTAAACGAAATCTAGACAAACAATTCATCCAAAATGAATGACCATGAAGTATTATATATATTGTATTTCACCTACCCTCCCTTGGTTTGGCTTCTGGTCCATGTTCGATGACTCCTCAAAATTTGTTGCAGCTTCTAAGGTGTCATTTATAATATTTTTTAACTGCATAACATGTTCCATGGTAACACATGGATGAAGCTGAGTGGTTTGGAAGTTTGACATAATAAGTTGCTGCAGTACTGATGGATGCATCTGTTGGTGTAGGGCTGCTGCCTTTGGATCATCAGGAGGAAGTGGGGTGATTATTTTATGTAATGCCTACAATAACAAAATTTGTTATAATGAAAGAAATTTCTCCAAGTTTGTAGTCTTTATCAAGTTAACCATTATTTAGGGAGAAAACCTCAGGTAACCATTGATTGATTGATTGGTGTGAAATGCCAATTTCAGCACTACACATGTATTACCCTATATCGTCGTGTTCAGTCTTTATTGGTGGAGGAAGTGAGAGTGCAAGGAGAGAACCAACGACCTTCAGGAGGAAAATCTCAGGTTACCAGGTTACTAGGCAATTTATTTTTATATCATACATATATACATGACTAAAATTAGATAAGTATTGTATAATAATGAGACAGCAGCCAAAAGGCACTGATAACCCAAAAGACATACAATGTATATATAGCATGTATATATATAGATCAACAGATCACCTACTGAACTAATTACTAGACAGAGGTCTATATGTATACAATATGTCATTAAGTTCTAAGTCATCAAAAGTATATATGCATTGTGAATATAAAAACAAAATCTATCAAAGAAGTGTCATAGGATCAACACCAAACAGGCCAAATATGAATATAAATCAGGGATCACTACAGATAAATTTAAAAGGGTGGTGCTTACAATACAAAATAGTCCATTTCAACAGTTGAAAAATATACTTTTGTAATACACAGCATGTATCTTAATTTAAAGACAAATCACAGATCTAATTATCATGATAATAGTCACTCATTCTATACTGATTAAGAATTATTTTTCAAACTTCTCTCATATAATGTCAAGAATAAGGTTGGTACTATGACAAGCATAAGGTGTACTGTAAATGTATATGACTTAGTTTAATACACTGTAAAAGAATACAATCGATCATTCCAAAATAAAATCTCATTTATCATGTATATATAGTGAGACCTGCTATAAAGGTCACCTCTATTAAGCAAAAACCAGCCTTGTCAGGTCACCCTCTTCATGCTTTTCATGTTTCTCTGCAGTAATGCGTATCTGCATTTTGAATCTCAATTAATAGGTCACCTCTCTTATAAGGTCAGTTTTATCTGGTCCTGAGGGTGACCTTTAAACACTGGTTTCTTTGACCGTTCATACAAAATGTATATTGAACATAACTGAGAGAAGTACACACATGATATAATTTTACCTTAGATAGATAATCTTTAGCACTAGCTATGGAGGGATCCAGGGCAAGACATTGTAATAATGCAACAACAGCATCTTCATACTGATCTAGTCCAAACAGGGCACGTCCTTTTCTAAAGTATGCCTAAAATTTATTTAAAAATGAAATATATACATTTATACATGAACATGTTGTCATGATTATGACATCATGTACAGCTTTATTACATATTTTGCTGAACTGCAGGAAGCAAGCTTAAGGTTGACAAAAAAAAACAATCAATACAAGTTTGTACTAGTATTTACCAAGGCAGGATAAAAACCAGTCAATACTGGCAAATACCAGACAATTGAAATTTTGATAGGACATTGCAAAATGTACTATAAAAACAAACACCTACAATGTACCTGGTCAATTACTGGGTAAGCAGATAGATATAGTCACAGGACAAAAAGTCACTTATTTACTGAATTGTACTAGGACAAAAAGTGACAAGTAATTAGTTAACACTTGATGGTATATATAAGGGAAAATCTTTGAAATGCCTTATTATAAGATAAATTCATTGTTATGAAACTGTTATGAAGATTTATCAAATATTAATTATACAAAGGATACATTTCTTGAAACCAGTCACTACCAAGAGACTATGTTTGACTTTTTACTGAACAGTATTAAATTACAATATAATTTCATCAAATGTAAATAAAAAAATTAATTTAAGTTGTTTTATATACAAGCATGACAAGAACAATACATTTATATGTATATAATAGTTTTAGAAAAAAAACAAAAATGATCTAAAAAAATAATATAATAGAGAATGGAAAGACTTTAATTCTTCAAAGAAAAATTTCTCTGAAAACTGAATTTTGACACAAGGTCCTGTGACATTTTGCCCTACGTTCAATTAATGTTACAATGACAGTGTTATGGTCATTATTTGATTTTTTTTAAGGTGTCTTTCCTTGTATAATTTGATATTCTACATTTTGTACATGAACACATGATGAACAGTGATTATTAGAATAAAATATTAAAGGAAAAAAAAACACCAGCCATAAGAGTATAGATCCTTCAAACTTTCCATTTCCTACATTCAGAAGATTTTAAGCATGCTGTTGAATAGTCAGGAATTTACAAAAATAACTTTTTTCTGATACATTGTATGTTAACATTTATTAAGAGCGGTAAATTCCTCTAAATACCAGTATGGGGACCAGATATATTTTACTGTCCAACCTTGGCAGGAAGGCCTCCAAGCTATATAAACATAATATAACCCTCCAAGAATAAGATTATTGGACTATAGACAGTCAGATAGTTGGACAGCCATTTAATATTTACATGAATCATTTAGTGTATTTTAATAGAAAAAATGCATACCTTTGGCCAGTCAGGACGTATCTGAATAACTTTTTCTGCATCTTCAAGAGCAGCTTTATAATTTTCTAACAATGCGTAGGCATGTGATCTGTTGCTGAGGGATAAATGATCTGTTGGTGCTGAAAAAGTCAACATCAATATTAATACCTCTGCATGTACATGTACATGTAATGTAGAATAATGTTTTGAAAGTTTCATCCAATGAATGATAAAAAATCACTTTTCTTTTGCTTCTATTTGTTTGAGTGTTACACTTATATGAGAGTGTAAATTATGCCTTGATGAGTTACTTATTAATCAATCTTTATATTTAGTTTATAGTGTTGTATAATTTTGTGAGGACAACTGTTTGTTCCTTCTTTTTTTATAAAATATTTTCAAATTCATTGTTATGGAATAATCAACAAATAATTGTTACTGTGCCATGTTCTTCAAAAGAGAAAATAGACAATAAACAATATTTACTAGCACAAAAGCAAGACATATTTAGACATATGGGTATTAAGCTTAATTTTTCGATGAATGACCCTTAAGCAATCTCTGAAAATCAACCTTCTGACATCATGCATAACAATCACTTTTTTAATTATGAGGTCAAATGTTTTAAATATTTTGAAGCAATATTTAGCATGAACTTGGATTGTGTGGTTTAAAGTAATGGTGTGCAAATTTGCATACAAGTGTAAACTAATATATATCAATGTATGTCAATCAGTAAGGTTCAATAATGACAATATACAAGTTACATTCTTCTTCTTTCTTTATTCAGCTAATAAAATTCCTTCAATGACAATGGCTTCATGCTGATTGTACAAAAATGTATAAAATGCCAAAATATATATGAATAGAAACTATAGTATCAACAGCTATACATTAAGGTTATAAACTAGTTTAGTACATGAAATGTAAACACTATATCAGATATTCTAACATTAGAAAATTCAGAAATACTTTACACATGCACATACACTGTTTTCTTCATAAGTAGGTCAATATGTCAAACCTGGTAACTAGAGATATCACAGAGCTAGGGTACATAAAACAAAACCTTGTCGGAAACCAGGTGAAAATAACTTCCGGGGTAACTAATGTTATGAAACAAAAATTTGATGTTACACAACTACTCGTTTACTTACCCAATTCAAGGGCCTCAGAATATGAAACTATTGCACTTTCAAACTTATGTCTTTCCATGAAATTGTTTCCTTTTGATTTTAAATCGGCGGCCCTACATTCGGAGGGAAACCATTGTTGAACAACCCGCGATATCAAGAAATTGGTTTTTAAACGTGACACATTCAAATAATAATGTACTACACCACAGTTTTTACATGATTTGGACTGGCCCTTTTCTAGACAACTCCTACAATAAGTATGTCCACAGGGAATTGTCACTGGTTCCTTAAGCAGGCCCCTACATATTAAACATGTGAACAAGCACTGTGATTGTTTGAACATCTGCTCTGAAGTTTTTTCGCCTTTTACACAGTTCACTAAACTAGTCACCAAATGTTTTAACTTTTCAGGCGATATAGATCCTAAACGAGAAGCACTAGAGTATGTTTCAAATGCCTTGTTAAATTGTCCTGTCTTGGCAAAGCTATCAGCTAAACCCAAATATAAATCAACTGACGGTCCATTTTCCGATATTGTACGCTCAAATATTTCCACAGCCAAATGAAAATTGTTAGTATTAAACGCTTGTCTTGCCAGATCAGTCATTTTCCACGTCCAACATACAGAAAAGCAACGAGTTACATAGACATTTTTCTCCACGTTATCTAATGGTAATATTTTTTTTACATAAGTCCACGTGACGCTCAACGTGGATTCGGATTGGACAATGACTATAGTTCATTGTCAAGGACGTATATTTATATAAATTGAAATCAATGGGTTACACAACTGTCAATATTTATATTGTGATGCACATGAAGCAGGTATATTCTGACATGCAAATTTGGAAACATGCGTGGAAGTGATCTCTAACTAATACTTTTATGAAAATCTTGATGGGATTTACAGAATTAAGAAAACAAGGAAATCAGTGAGAAAAAAGGACGAAAAAGTTAAATAGAATCACTGTGGAAAATTAGGCAATACAATACTGATTACAGCCGAAATGAAAGATGTTGAACAGTTCCGAGAATAAAGAATTTTTTTGTAAAATGTGACCAATTTAGTGAGAATTTTTATTAGATTAAGCGTTATTTTTCAAAGATAAAGAGAAATGCTCTAAAATTTAAAGAATACGTACACATATGAAGGACCCTCAATCCAGACCCTTATATGGGACAGTATCTGAAAAACTCTAATTTTTGGCAATGGGAAAAACAAACAAAAAACGATCAAAAATGTCTTTGGAATCTGTAATTTAATAGCACAAAACAAAGAACAAACATTGAGGATTCAGGAACTGTGGTCTGTAATTCAAAAAAATGTAAACTTCAATTAAACATTTTTAAAATATCTGGAATTAAAAGAATTTAAAGATGGACAAGCACTATGCAAGATCAGAATAAGTGCACACCCCCTAAAATAGAGACGGATAGATATGCAAAAAACTATATAGCTAAATCACAAAGATTATGTAAAAAAATGCACGTTGGATAAAGTTGAAGATGAAGAACATTTTATATGGCAATTTCCCCTTTATAATCTCTTGAGAAAAGAGTTATATGATAAAATTTTGATAAGTTGTAAAAATTTCGAAATGTTAAACACAAGTGCCAAGTCTAATATTATGATTTTTTACTTATATGCATGCGTATGGCTCTGGTCTGGCTGTGGTTTAAGACCGTAGACCTGAAATGATTGTATTCATATTTATATATGATTATCAAAATTGTTGTGTCAATTAACAAAATTATTGTAATAAATTACTTTGCTCTTCATGGGCCCTTTAATTGGAATAAAAAAATATCTTATAAAGATTTATCAATACGAAACCCATCAATGATTGTGATTGTGCACTTTCAGCCACTTCAAATCCGGCAACGACGGCAAAAGATCTCTCCAATTTCCAATTCTATATTGCTCGCGTTTAAGAAAAATATTTTTGCATGATTACATTTTATTGATTTATATAATTCATACAATGAAAACTTTAAATAGAGAATTGTGATTTATGTAAGGGTTTATTTTTGAGGACAAAGAGAACGTAGGATTATTTATAATTATTTTAGGGGTCACAAAAAGATAAATTAGTTTACAGGGAATCTATATAAATCTAAATGCTTTTAATTATAACCTATCGATTTGGCTGCTAGCGAGCAGGCGGCCGTTTATCTCGCATATTCAGGACTCGATCTGTTACACTTTGTCAGGTCTCATGTGAAGCCTGTGGGTGACAGATTTGGTGCCCATCATAGCTACTGGCATATTTGCTTCTGATACAAGATACAAGATATTTAATTAAAATAGAGAAACCGCTATATATTACATTATCATGAGAAGGAGAAGAAGCTTTCGCTCGTCGGAAAAGGGGGGGTAGGGGTAGATTCAGTATATAAGATTGCTGGTTATTATATGTCATAACTATGAATATGCAAGTCATTTTTCAAAAATCGTCGTTCCTGAAATTGTTTTGAAATAAAATTTTTTTTAGATGGTGACGTTCCCTTGTCACCATCTTATGGTGTTTTATATATCTCAACTTGTACGATTCGCTCGTGTATGTAACAACGTATTAGATTTTAGCGAGAGAAAATTATGTATTACTGAAAAATTTTTACACCAGGATTTTCGATATCATAAACTAGTCAAAACATTTACTAAATTTCATCATTGGTATAAGGACATAATTCGTAAATATAACTCAACATGCAGACATCTTATACGTTCGGGTATTTCACATCCAATCTTTTATGGTGATATTCTTTACAAAGCACAAAAATGTCAGTATTCACCTCAAAAGCTAACAAAACCTTTAAACAGACTTATTAAGAAGGGATATATAGTTACGATACTGTTGTCAGGTCATTAAAGATTGCATATTTTGGCTTTAATATTGATTCACTTATAGGGTCTTTGCATCGGAATTAAACATTGACTAGTTTATGATATCGAAAACCCTGGTGTAAAATTTTTTCAGTAATACATAATTTTCTCTCGCTAAAATCTAATACTGTGACGTTGTTACATACACGAGCGAATCCGATGCAAAGACCCTATAAGTGAATCAATATTAAAGCCAAAATATGCAATCTAATACGTTGTTACATACACGAGCGAATCGTACAAGTTGAGATATATAAACACCATAAGATGGTGACAAGGGAACGTCACCATCTAAAAAAAACTTTATTTCAAAACAATTTCAGGAACGATGATTTGAAAAATGACTTGCATATTCATAGTTATGACATATAATAACCAGCAATCTTATACTGAATCTACCCCTACCCCCCCCCCCCCCCCCCCCACCCACCCCTTTTCCGACGAGCGAAAGCTTCTTCTCCTTCTCATGATAATGTAATATATAGCGGTTTCTCTATTTTGATTAAATATCTTGTATCAGAAGCAAATATGCCAGTAGCTATGATGGGCACCAAATCTGTGATCCACAGGCTTCACATGAGACCTGACAAAGTGTAACAGATCGAGTCATGAATATGCGAGATAAACGGCCGCCCGCTCGCTAGCAGCCAAATCGATAGGTTATAATTAAAAGCATTTAGATTTATATAGATTCCCTGTAAACTAATTTATCTTTTTGTGACCCCTAAAATAATTATAAATAATCCTACGTTCTCTTTGTCCTAAAAAATAAACCCTTACATAAATCACAATTCTCTATTTATAGTTTTCATTATATGAATTATATAAATCAATAAAATGTAATCATGCAAAAATATTTTTCTTAAACGCGAGCAATATAGAATTGGAAATTGGAGAGATCTTTTGCCGTCGTTGCCGGATTTGAAGTGGCTGAAAGTGCACAATCACAATAATTGATGGGTTTCGTATTGATAAATCTTTATAAGATATTTTTTTATTCCAATTAAAGGGCCCATGAAGAGAAAAATAATTTATTACAATAATTTTGTTAATTGACACAACAATTTTGATAATCATATATAAATATGAATATAATCATTTCAGTTCTACGGTCTTAAACCACAGCCAGACCAGAGCCATACGCATGCATATAAGTAAAAAAGCATAATATTAGACTTGGCACTTGTGTTTAACATTTCGAAATTTTTACAACTTATCAAAATTTTATCATATAACTCTTTTCTCAAGAGATTATAAAGGGGAAATTGCCATATAAAATGTTCTTCAACTTCAATTTTATCCAACGTGCATTTTTTTTAAATAATCTTTGTGATTTAGCTATATAGTTTTTTTGCATATCTATCCGTCTCTATTTTAGGGGGTGTGCACTTATTCTGATCTTGCATAATGCTTGTCCATCTTTAAATTCTTTTAATTCCAGATATTTAAAAATGTTTAATTGAAGTTTACCTTTATCTGATTTAACAACTAGTATTTTCTCTAAAATCTATCCAATAATTCAGAAAACTTTTACATAATTTATTCTTAAGTTAACTATAGTACGGCATAATCGGCCAACCCTTACATTTAAGTTTCATAACTCTAGTTCTTTCATTAAAAAATCAATACATTTTACTAGAAAACCATGTAGTAATATTTTATTTTTTACATGTAGCTTTTTATTACAAATATATGCATCACATAATAAACCATACTTTGTGTTCTCTAAGGATGGTTTATTATATATATATATATATATTCGTACTTAGTTTGTGGTGTAGTATTCCGACTTTAAGTGGACTACTTATAGACCACTCCGCCACACAAGTTATGTTTGAAGTGATTAGAATAAATCATCAGGATAAAGATAATTTTATCATAGGAGAAAATAGATTTACCAATTTGTGAGAATTGGAGATCGCTTGATATTAACTCCCGTTATTAAATTCAAAAATAATAATAATACTAGTAATAAATAGTCAAAGGCTCGTTTATTATTATATTGATATGAAATTAAACAACACGAGTTGATATCAAGCGATCATATCAAATTCTCACTCGTTATGAAAACTATAAATGACATAAGTCTCGCGCAGAAATCGATATTATACGTTTTTATAAGAAAGGTTGTAAGGAAAATGACATAATCCCCCAAGTTCAGAGGTAATAAGTCAATTGGAAGTAGTTGCTAAGTGGAGAGATTAAAAACATGACCTTCATTAGTTTTGAAAGATCACCATAGACTAGCTTACTGACTAATATACCTTAAATGTGTTGATCTGTTCTAATTTAAAGTTCAAGTTAAAAAGCATGACGATATTAAGTTTCCTTGTGGAGTGTCGCGTTGAAGATAAATTCCATATTGCTATGCAGATAAAAAAAGGAGCGGATGATATCAAGGGACATGCATTTTAAAATAATATTTCGAAGAGAAACTGACAGCACTACATCATGTCAAAAACGAAATACGACGAAAGTCAAATAAGTCCACAAAATATTACATGGAACACTTTAAGCTTTGAGCATCTTGATGAATTGAATGACTTTTCGTTTGTTATTTAATTGTGTAAAGTAAGTAGTTTGGAAGGAATTTCTACACAACTAGTGAAGAGGATGGAGACATGTCTTTTACCTGAAAAATTGTTCATAATTGTAATTCATTAACTCTTACTTTCTACAGTTTTTTTTCAAATTCATGGACGTGTTAATTAACGTTTCCTTGACAATTCTTGTACGTCCAAATAGAACTTTTAAAAACGACATATCGAATGAAGGAACATATCTGATATGGCAAAGCTTACATGCTCAGCTTTAAC